TCTCTCTCTCTCTCTCTCTCTCTCTCTCTCTCTCTCTCTCTCTCTCTCTCTCTGAATTCAATCCAGAACCTTCACACAAAAATACATCTCCATCTCCCTATTGTTTGGACAGGATCTTGCTAAAGTTTGGGTTCAAGTATGTGGTCCTCCTTTCTTGGCTTCCCACAGTGCTGGAATTAGAAATGTATACCACCACACAGGCTAGTTTCTTCCTCTTCTTACAAGCCAGGAACTGACTGACCAGAAATCTCTTAAATCTCTTGATTTATGGAAGTATAAAATGCTGTGATATTTAAGGAAAGAGAATTGTCTTTGTTGTTGTTGTTGTTGTTGCACTGAACTATTGTTTCAAAAGAAATAGACTTATTTTGTTTTAGGAAGCTCGGATTTTATTAAATATCTTTTTCTTAAATGGTTTTCCTGTGACCCTTCTGTTACGCATTTTTTATTTCAGCTATAAAAGCAAAGGCATCCTTCATTGATGAAGAGCATTTTTTTTTCCAATACTGGGCTTGAACTTGTTGTCATCCTGCCTCGGCTTCCTAGAGTGCTGGGATAAGAATATGACTGCATGCCTCTTGCTGAGGAGTAACTCTGGACTGGAGATAGAGTGAAAACAGGCCAAGCCAACTAACCAACCAAAATTATCCTGTCTTCCTAGCTCTTCAGTACAGGTGTGCAGAAATTCAAAGTCACTGGCACAACTTGAAACAAGTCCTTGGATATATGCAACATGGGACATTAGTAACTAGCCATGTCTGCTTCAGGACACTGGGCCAAGATTGTCAGAGAGATTTCGTTTTCAGCAGGGATGGTTAGACCCATTGCACCTGGTATGAAACTGATTTTTCTAACTGTGTGTCTTGCTGATTGTACTTTTTTTCACGATTTATTTATTTACTTTTTTGTTACAGGGTCTCACTATGCAGTTCAGACTTGTCGTGATCCTCCTGTTTCAGCCTCCCCAGTGCTGGTATTACATGAGTGTGCCACCACATCCAGTCATGGTGGCCA